GATAGACAGACAGACAGACAGACAGACAGACAGACTGACTGACTGATTGACGAATGGACGGACGGACGGATGGATGGATGGATGGATGGATGGATAAATGAGCAGACAGACAGATGGACAGACAGATGGAGAGTTAGACAGACAGACAGACAGACAAACAGACAGACAGATAGACAGACAGATAGACAGATAGATAGACAAATAGATAGATAGATAGATAGGTAGATAGATATTTATAGATAGATAAATAGATGACAGACAGACAGACAGACAGACAGACAGACAGACAGACAGACAGACAGACAGACAGACAGACAGACAGACAGACAGACAGACAGACAGACAGACAGACAGACAGACAGACAGACAGACAGACAGACAGACAGACAGACAGACAGACAGACAGACAGACAGACAGACAGACAGACAGATAGATAGATAGATAGATAGATGATAGATAGACGGACGGACGGACGGACGGATGATAGATAGATGGACGGACGGACGGACGGACGGACAGACAGACAGACAGACAGACAGACAGATAGATAGATTTGATTCCACAGCTGCACCGCTGCATGAATGCGGGCCTGTAGCTGAACACAGCAGTATGTGACTGAATGCACCCAGAAAAGCAGCACTTGTCGAGGCTGTGTTTGACACCAGAGCTTCAGTTTGATGGAGAAGAGGAAGTGAGTCATTCTGTCGAACTATTCATATGATAGATAGATTTGATTCCACAGCTGCACCGCTGCATGAATGCGGGCCTGTAGCTGAACACAGCAGTATGTGACTGAATGCACCCAGAAAAGCAGCACTTGTCGAGGCTGTGTTTGACACCAGAGCTTCAGTTTGATGGAGAAGAGGAAGTGAGTCATTCTGTCGAGCTATTCATGTGACAAAGCGAAGCATCCAGGAGGTGGGTGTTACATTAACCACGGTCAATAATAGATTATCTGCCAGTGTACCCGTCTGATGTATTTTTCCATTGTCATTGACTGTGATGCTGCATTAGTTACTTCAGAGCAGCCCATCTACGTGATTTTCAGTGGAAATAATATTAGACAATGGAACAACACAGCTGAGTGGTGTTTTTTAGTTTTGAGCAGCTCTATTTAATGTTGTGTGTGTGTGTGTGTGTGTGTGTGTGTTTGTGTGTGTGTGTGTATGTTTGTGTGTGTGTGTTATGTGCAGCTCCCCTCCATCTCATTTTATACTGTATATGAATATCATTTGAATAGAAATATTAATTGAGTTTGTTTGCGATTTTGTGTTCCTATCATAATTGTTTGATATCTTTTATGGGACACCTGTAGAAAATGTCATTCCCCAAAAAAATGGTCTGAGCTGCTCTCATGGTGTCCATGGTTTGTTAGTTTGTAATAAACGACTTAGCAATTTATTATAAAATAAATACCAAATGGCTTAAATTACTCAAGCTGACAGAATGATTATTCTACAGCCTCTATTACTGTCAATTTCCAAAGTCATGAGAAACATAAATTCAGCCAAGTGAGTCCAAAATTTCGATGGTAGTGTACATTCTGTTGATCCTTTTTTACAGTGCATATTGGTTTTATATCATTTATGATAAATATTTACAAACAATTTATAGTATTTGTTTACTTCATGCTTATTATTCATTTGTTAACTTCATGCTTATAATTCATGCTTATTATAAATCTGCAAAAATAAAAGCTTTAAACTCTATTTACACATCACATCATTTGGCTGCAAAAACTACAAGGTTGCAACAATGATATCACAGAAAACTGAGAAAATAAAGCAGCTCATATAACATTTAGTTTGACCTTCACAATCAACTTTTCCTGAAGGTTAGCCTGTCCCTTTAATGACCATTTGTTGTAAGCAGTTCAAAGTACTGTAAAATCATAATTAAAGTGGGATCTTTTTCAAACAGTGTCTAAAGCTTTCATAATATGTGTGACAATTTATTGATTAGTATAATTTGATGAAAGTGGTGGCTTAGGCCTATACCTTTGCCAAGACTCCACACTTTTACTGTAGGCTAGCCTCGATATCACCAATAGTAACTGTGGTATGTTGGTGGAAACTATGGTTACTATGGTACATGTTCAAAAGCGCATTCTTTTAATATTAAGGCCTTGAGTCATTGAGTGGCAACTGCACCTCGAAACCACTGTGTTAAACATGTCGAAAAGTCACACTTGCATGACCTCAAGAAGTATTTTAAACCACCCAAAGATGAATAGAAGTGCCTTATTATTTCATGACCGAGTTTGAAATGAACAGACCGACAGAACTAGATTAACTGCAATGAAATCATAGTTTGTGATATTAATAGACCGAACGCGTCGACGACTTGCAGCGAGTTTATCTCTGAGAATACATCAAAACATATGTGTATATGACTAATTTGTATTAGTTATATTAACAAAGCAAGTCTTTTGGATCACCAAAAGCCATGCGAAAGTTTTAACACTCTTTTGAAGTTGTTGAAGAACTGCCCTCAGTTCCTCGATGTGAATGACTAGGCTTGTTTATGAAGCGACAGAGTTGCATTACAACAAACACTTGAATCGGTCAAATAAAATAAACTAGAGAAACATAGTTGCCGCCGCGGTTACAGTCATTATGCTTTAAAAAGTGTGATTCTGTACATGATAAAACCATGGTTAGAAGCCCACTGAGTTACTTGGTGGCTTACCTGTGTCACAGGATCTCTGTCTCCATTGGGACTTCTGTATCGATGCAAATTATGTTTAAATATTTGATGTTAGAAAATTCCTGCCATACAATTCTCACTGTAAACATACAAAGCCATGGGGGACTGAGCGAAGACGGGTCCTAAAGCCCGCAGTGTTACATTCGGGCCATCGACAAATACTGTATATTACCACGGTAACGCAAGTTATAGAATGAAATATAAATATAATAAACACTTTTTAATAAATGATAACTAAATACATTTGATAATGATAATAAATACATTTACATAGTTAAATCATATATAGTTAGCTACTACAGTTATTGTTGTTACTGTAAAATTCTAATACCGTATTGGCCCGAATATAAGACGACCCTGATTATAAGACGACCCCCCTTTTTCCAGATGTACCTTTTGGAAAAAGGCTTTTTAAAAACCAAATCTTGTTGTTTTTTTTCTCAGTAAAACACATTTTGTCTTCAATTATTTTCATATTGCATATTTTTCCTATTTTAATTTTTGTTTTGAAAGTATGGTAAAAACTGGTAAAATGTACCAACAATCACATTTAAAAAATATACACTTTTTGATATACCATTAAAAAAAAAAAAAACAGGTAGCCCATCTGAATTAGGACATTTAGGCTATCCATCTAATAGTAGCCTTTACAACCTTTACAACACTCATTACATTATGTATTTCATGGCACACTCGTTTCATGCGTATTTGGCGCCACCTATTGTTGTGGGTGTATTATTGACATGTCAAAGTCTAGACGCTGAATATAAGACGAGCGCGTTTTTTCAGATGTATTTCCAAGAAAAAAAACATCGTCTTATATTCGGGTCAATACGGTAAGTTAAAAGTACATGTAAAGAAAGAAATACAAAAAAGAAAAAGAAATATATAGAGAAATATAAGATAGAATATTGTATATAGCTACTGAATCTTCTTTATCTTGTATTTGTTTTCGATGACTAAAATACTGTTGGTACCATGTAGGCTACAGTCATGATACAATGATTACAGAATTCACATAGCCTACCTACTGAACGTAGTTTTGTGTAATTCTTGCGACTCTGGAGCCCCCTACAGTTAAGTGAGTGGAATTCACTGTCATAATACACGTGCATTTGTTGCTGCCGTAAAGCAGTCCGCTCGTTTCACGGGATTTCGTACCCGCTCACCAAAACATAGGCTGCTGATTTGAGGCCTGCTTACTTTATAGGTAGCATTTGCGCAGAAAAAGATACCTAATTTTGACGATAATAGATAACATGACTGCACAACAGCAACGTACTGTAGGTGGCGCTATACATTTAGATTGTTATGCGCCAAAAAACTAAAGAAGAAGAAGAAGAAAAAGGTACCTCACAAAAGTGATTCTGAACAGACTTATGAGGCAGCATAAAGGTTTAATGATCTACTCCAAAACAGAGGGAGCTTTGGTGATAACATTAATAATTATTTACTACAGTACTACTGTATTTTCTCGCTAGAAAAAGTTGGTCAAAAAATTTACACACAAGCTTACCACCAACCACAACTTTTAGATGTTATTTTTATTTTTTAGCTCACGGAATTGAACACATGATTGTGGGATATCAGAGGCAGCAAAGGATACATCTATGCCGCCTTCAAAAACCAATCAGATGAAGGCATCTCAGAAGAAAGGACGTGAAGCTAACAAGTTTTGAAGGGGAGCATGGGAAAGAAACAGAAGCCATTTGCCTTATTACAGTCAGTGTACCTTCAGAATGATTCTGAAATTGATATTTCAAGGTAAAAATGTAGTTGCTTTAAGTGGTGCTCAAATGTACTTAAATAGCATGTATTGCCATGGTACTTGTCCAGAAAACATGCTAATACTTTTTGTTAGTGCAGTTTTCTTGTAATGTAACCACAGTGGCCAATTGTGCAAACAGCCACAATGTTCAGACTGTGTCATAAGAACTTGACTTACCAACTAGCATATCTTACTTTTCGGATTTCAGAGTAGACCAACCTACAGTTTTATGTATCTGACTAAAAAAAGTTATGACCTAGATGACTAACTTGTAAGACTAGTCTAAACAGCTTATGGAACCAGCCACAATTCTGCTTCTGCCTCTACTTTTTTTGGGGGGGAATTGAGCAAAATAAGGGGTGAGTAGGTGACAGATTACAACTCAAGTTATAACTTGATTTTAATTCAACTTCAGAGCAGAGAAAGAGGGGAAGGTCTGATCTAGTGTATCAGTTTTTATTTTATTTGCACGTCCATTGTGTTAACAACTTCAACATACAGTACAAGTCAGCATTAGTGTAACATACTGTATTTAGCATAAACTCACAGCAGTATGCAGATAACTTGCCCTCAAAAGCATTACAGTTCACACTCTATGTTAGATGTCCCTGAAGATCATGTAGTGAAATGAGCAGTATTAAGCTGGGTATGTAAAGTACATGTTATTCACTGTACTTACATTATACATAGACAACTTGCTTGCACTTACAAATATTGAAAAGGCCATGTAACAACATGAATCACACTACAGTTGTGGTGAACTAACACTGTTTATCATCTAGGTACAGTGGTTTAAGGGACACCTAAAATAAAGTTGAATCACTAACTTCATTCCACCTTAACCATATCAACATTGCGGTATCCAAATGGACTAATATATTTATTACAGTAATTTTCTTCTCAGCTCATTTTCGTCTTTGTTCAGCTTTCAATGTTTCTGTACAACACACAACAGCAAAAAACTGAGGGATTGTTAGGGACCAGTGGCAGAGAGAGAAAAAAGGGGCAGATAGCACTCCAAAAGAGGAGGTTTACACAAAAAGAAACCATTTCCATTCCAGGTAAAACAGTTAAGATACAAGAAGAGCAGAAAGTGCTGCTGCCCACCAGTGCATTGGAACAAACACTCATTTACAATTGGTTATATTCATCTTTATGTCTATAGTTATTGATATAAAACAAGCTTTTATGCCCGAAAGATCAAAAAAGTTCCAAGTAACACAAGGAGCCGAGGGTTAAAATAAAGAAAAACACGCATGTATCATTTCACTTAGGTTGCATTGTGTAGTTTGGGTTGCCGTTTTTACAAAAGTGGGTTTTGCTATCATTTAAACCACTAAAAACTGTAATATATACACCAGTTTTGAAGCAGAAATTTGAATAGTCATTGCATGCAGGGTTAAAAACATTATAGAGGGTGGAAGAGTTCACTTTTCTGTTGAAAATGTATAGAGTGAAATTGCAAGACGATGGGTTTCTTAATTTTCTTCAAAATGTGATTGGAATGTGATTCATTTTTGCTAATAAACAATGGTTAATCTCATTATGTGGCCTTAATGACTCACAATGAGCTTGACTGCAGATATCATGGAGAGACCGCTGGGGCTTAATTTACTGCTATATTAATTTCACATGTTAAATATGAAGTATCTATAATGAGCCAGTCGATATCTTTTTCCCCTCTCACCCTCCCACTTTCTGCCTTATTAACTAAATATGCGCTCATTGGCACTGGGAATAGAGCATGTAATCTGCCTCAGGGGCTGTGGGCACCGAATTACATCATTGGGAACACATCCACATGCACATTGCATGCCTTCAAACATTCAAACATGGACTCAAAGGTCTGTCTAAAGCTGCAGTGCGAGCTGCTTCATCATGGTCACCAACGCACCACAAAACATTGGTCCATCTACTTTGGTTAGTTTTCGACAGCTGCCGCTGGCTAATGGTTACTGGCTCATGCCAAATCCTAACTTTGATATAGTCAGTTATTAGTCCTATCATAGTTATTAGGGTTTTGATATACATATTTTTTTTTTTTTTTCTTTTGAACACAAATCATAAAAATAAATACAGTACTCTACGAAAGTGCAAAAATTGGTCTGAATCTGCATATATCTCAGCTATAATTCATAGAATAGAGGATAGATGGGCTTAGAGCCAAACTTATTGAAGTAAATAAGCTGGGGTGGCTAGTTATTTCCATGACACCATTTGTAAGTCAAAAGTTCAAATGTATATTTGGCGATATTCAATTGTACTACGAAAAAAAGAAACTGAAGAGTACCAGTGTTACGGCCTATGATACATTATGTACATTGTGACCAAAGATGTTAAGAATTAGTTGTATTAAGTGTGGCCTTAAAAACATGTTTGATGGCAATAGAAACTGTGATGTTAGGTACAGTACATGTAAAATGTACAAATTTGACAATACGTAAATATACTAATATCTGTCACATTTGGCTTTTACTGTTGTTTTATCAGTGTTTCCCTCCAACGTTTTTAACCAAACCTTCCCTGATCTCTATGCTATGGTATAGCACAGCAACTGGGTCAAAACATCCTTTGCAGTACAATGGAAATGTGCATAGATATGCCTAAAGGAAAACAAAATGTAATTTAAATCAATGAATAGTAGATATGTTGAGATATGCCGACAACACATAGGTCATAGAAGTGCTTTGTCCAAGTCATCAAGACGGAGAAATTAACAATAATGTATAAGTACAGCTACAAATAAATAAAGCAGCTACAGCATAAAAACGGGGAAAGTGTAGACTGTCTTTACTATATGGAACATCAGAGTGTTTTCATGAATCAAATTCATTTTTAATCCTGAGCTGACGGTCTCTAATTTTCATTTGGTGGTTGTCTGAAAACTGCCTTAACATCAGGTTTTGTTTAACTGGCATTTGGAGTTTTATTTTCTCCAGAGAATTTGAGAATCTCAATTTCAGCGTCATTAAAAGATTAAGCATTACATTTTAGCTGGATATGAATAATGGCCATATTTCAACCTTGTCTTTTGTGGTAAATATTAGCATGTTAGCAAAAATGCTCATGATGGTGTCCAGTTTATACAGTATATCACTTTTCATCCATTTTTATCCTACACTATCAAAACATTCACCCCATTATTTTCTTAAAAAGTGGACTTTAAAACTTCATCCTAAAAATAAAAGTGTCTCACTAGCTCTAGCATGCGGCTAATTGAAAGTAGTGTATGTATACTGTGAATATGCCGGTATACTGGTAAGAGGCTCTGAGGATACTGTGGTATAACTCTCATATGGGTATAATTCTCTTATAATTTACTTTAGCGTTATAATCAGAGCCAAAAACCACACTGACGTGGTTATTTTTGCTTTTTTCCTCGTTTTTTTTTTTTTTGCTATTACATATGAGTCTTTTTTGCTACGAGTTCATTAGATAACATTCTAAGTGTCTTTTCCTGGTCTTACGTCCTGACACACATACTTATCCTCTCATACACCTATCTGTACAGGGAAAAGGAGAGACTGTTAAATGGGCTTCTTTCTATAGAGGGGCTGACAGGAAGGAAGGAATACATTTTGCTTTCCCCATGTGTTTGCCAGACACTAGTACTCTATAAGGTTATGCCACTTGGCAATCTGCCGCCTTGGGTTGTCACAGACTTCCCTCCAGTGAGTCACCCCTGATGGGATGGGGCTCTGACCACCCAGAACCAGGCGACCCACGACCTCATTCTTCGTGGTGCGGTCAAAATCAATGACCAGAAACTCCACAGAGATGTCCGGCATTAGCTCAGCGGGAACATCGTAGATAAATGATTCATTGAAAACGGGACTGAGTGTGCATTTCTTCACATGCGTCTTCTTCTTGGCTATGCGCTTGCGGCCGTAGAAGACATTCACTTTAACATAAGGGTCTGTGGGTGGAGAAGGGAAATAAAGACATTAGAATTTGTCAAGTTTTTGGCATCATAAATAGGATCATTCGAATATCTATATATTTGTGTATGTGTGGTGTGTACTTACTGCCTGACAGGCCAGTGATGTCCATGGTTGGCAGGTGTTTGGCCTTAAGGACTACCACATTAAGCCTGTGAGTAACAGGCTGGTAGGACAGAGAGACCAGTAGCTCCCCACGACTTTCACACTACGGAGAAACAGAACAGAAATTGAGCACAAGAAATAGGACACAAATGTTTATAGGCATACACAAAAGTATATCAGATGAATAAATAAGGACATGATGTTGAGCCATCCTGTAAGTGATCACAGCACTGATATAGAAGCATTGTTCCAATGGCTCATGATACTCAGCCTCAAGGTGATGATACATTGGGCAACTTTTTTGAGCAATGTTGCTTGGGCACTTTCCCATTGAGAATGGGCAACAAATTTGGATACTTTAGATCAGTCAGTATCATCAACTTCAGAGTCTGTCCAAAAGTAAGGTAAGCCTGGCACAATCATCCATGCTTCCTAAAGCAGTACCAACAAGGGGAACAATACCCATCACCTAGTGCTGTAGTCGAGACCAGCTATTTCAAGTCTGAGTCCAGGTATGGACCTGAGTAAATTGAGTCAAGGCCCAAGTATACCAAGTTTTGTTGTTGTACGCGTAGCCTTTCAAAGTATAGTCCATTTGAGGTGTATGCGAATGCAGGCGGTCTACACATGCCCTCTAGAAAGCTTCATTTTTTTCTGCGCTATTTTTCTCCAGAAGTTATGACCAATAAAAATGTCTTTGCATTCTTTTAATCTAAAGTTGCTGCTATTTCACATCCCTTTCACACAAACGCTCATCAATGCGGCTGTTGTACGGTGCGTTCCAAACGGGATATATCACCCTCCGAAGGGCACTTCGGAGTGAAAACAATCATGGCTGCCATATTGAAGGGTCGTTCCAAACTGAAGTGCTCAAAACTGGCCACTTCAAAGGGCCCTTTAGAATGAAGGATTTCGAAGGGTACAACTGATGGACACTTCGGGCCCCCATTATCCTTTGCGCAGATTCTTTGCATGATGACAGCGCCTCCGTGTGGGCACATGATGATGACACAAAAGGGCACTTCAAGAAACAGTTGTTTGGTCCCCTACACCCTTCAACGCTTCGAAGCTCTCACTCCGGAGGGTAAACCCTTTGAAAGGATTAGGGCATAGGGATGAGCCCTTCCGAATGGAACGCAGGGGTAGTCTCCACAATTTTTTGTTGTTAAGGTGACGAAATTTGCATCACGTGGACCCTCATGTACATGTAAAAACTGAAGTATACTTTGGCTTTCAGAGTAATAACTGAGACCAGGTTGGCTGATAGCCTTGTGGGCAGCGCGTCGAAATATAGCACTGTTGCGCTTTGGGCGTCCTGAGTTTGCGTACCGGCTCACGGTCCTTTGCCAATCCTGTCCCCCCTCTCTCTCCCACTTTGTTTCCTGTCAATATATATACTTTCCTAAAAGGCAAAAATGGCACAAAAAAATGATTGAGACCATAAGAGGGTCGAGTCTGAGTCAACACAGACCCCTGCATGTGAACTCTTCAGACAGTTTAAATAAGCTTCCTTTTAGGCTGAATGAAGTCTGGTTTTGCTTCAATGTCACACAAACCTGAGCAGCACACACAAAGTGTGCTTCTGTCCAAAGACACAATAGCACAGAGCGGATCATATGAATCGATACAGACAGAAAAAAGTATCCGCAGTGTTGTACTACTCAAGACCGTCAAGACTGAGTCCAAATGCTCCCAAGTTTATGACAAGTTTATGAAAACATGCTCTTAAGCTCAAGCTTTAGGCACAGTCTTGTCTCTAGTACTACCGAGCACTGCCATCACCCTTGTCCAAGAGCTTGCTGTGCCCATGGCCATCATAGCCAACTTGGTGTCAGGGTACTGAGGGATCTAATGGTATCTCTGATCCTGCAACAAGGTCAGATTTGCAAGTTATTAGATTAAGAGCTAAGGAAATGTTGCAATGCAGGAAAACAGTGTTCTCTTGGCACTCCTGGCCTCTGGGACAAAGCTTGTCTAAAACTAAGATAATTATGTGTTGTCTGCTTTTTTTGGGGGGGGAAATTATCTCTGGAGTGTCCTTTGGCCAAGAACAGAGGTGTCCAGTCCTGCTCCTGGACAGCCAAAGTCCTGCAGAGTTTAGCTCCAACCCAAGCGGCAACCTCCCCCTCTCTCTCGTGAAGCCAACAAGGAAGTGACTTAAACTGTAATTCATCAACTGGCCGCTAGAGGCTGGCTGCAAAAGGGAGTCAATCCCATAGACTCCCCATGTTAAAATGCCCAACTTTTGCCCAAAAAATGATTTTGGTCTATATAGCTAATTTTGCCCTTGATGACGGGCATAGGGATGAGCCCTTCCGAATGGAACGCAGGGGTAGTCTCCACAATTTTTTGTTGTTAAGGTGACGAAATTTGCATCACGTGGACCCTCATGTACATGTAAAAACTGAAGTATACTTTGGCTTTCAGAGTAATAACTGAGACCAGGTTGGCTGATAGCCTTGTGGGCAGCGCGTCGAAATATAGCACTGTTGCGCTTTGGGCGTCCTGAGTTTGCGTACCGGCTCACGGTCCTTTGCCAATCCTGTCCCCCCTCTCTCTCCCACTTTGTTTCCTGTCAATATATATACTTTCCTAAAAGGCAAAAATGGCACAAAAAAATGATTGAGACCATAAGAGGGTCGAGTCTGAGTCAACACAGACCCCTGCATGTGAACTCTTCAGACAGTTTAAATAAGCTTCCTTTTAGGCTGAATGAAGTCTGGTTTTGCTTCAATGTCACACAAACCTGAGCAGCACACACAAAGTGTGCTTCTGTCCAAAGACACAATAGCACAGAGCGGATCATATGAATCGATACAGACAGAAAAAAGTATCCGCAGTGTTGTACTACTCAAGACCGTCAAGACTGAGTCCAAATGCTCCCAAGTTTATGACAAGTTTATGAAAACATGCTCTTAAGCTCAAGCTTTAGGCACAGTCTTGTCTCTAGTACTACCGAGCACTGCCATCACCCTTGTCCAAGAGCTTGCTGTGCCCATGGCCATCATAGCCAACTTGGTGTCAGGGTACTGAGGGATCTAATGGTATCTCTGATCCTGCAACAAGGTCAGATTTGCAAGTTATTAGATTAAGAGCTAAGGAAATGTTGCAATGCAGGAAAACAGTGTTCTCTTGGCACTCCTGGCCTCTGGGACAAAGCTTGTCTAAAACTAAGATAATTATGTGTTGTCTGCTTTTTTTGGGGGGGGAAATTATCTCTGGAGTGTCCTTTGGCCAAGAACAGAGGTGTCCAGTCCTGCTCCTGGACAGCCAAAGTCCTGCAGAGTTTAGCTCCAACCCAAGCGGCAACCTCCCCCTCTCTCTCGTGAAGCCAACAAGGAAGTGACTTAAACTGTAATTCATCAACTGGCCGCTAGAGGCTGGCTGCAAAAGGGAGTCAATCCCATAGACTCCCCATGTTAAAATGCCCAACTTTTGCCCAAAAAATGATTTTGGTCTATATAGCTAATTTTGCCCTTGATGACAACTGTGAGGGGGGTGAATTTTTTTATAACTCATCCGTTTAAATTATATTAAGCCTTAAAGTTCTGCATAATTAAGGGCGTGGCCACTTGAGTGACAGGTGGATTGCCGCTGCTGTCACCGCCGTCGCGCTAGGTGGGCGTGGCTTCAGCAACCTGCTCCCGCCTATTTGCCCATTTTCGATTATCCGGGAGTGACGCACGGTGACGCACTGCCAAGATGGCGACGGCCGCCTCCGCCCAATTTTGAGCTTCAAAAACGCTCTTCGGAAATCTACGGGTGACGTCACGGACACTACGTCCATGTTTTTATACAGTCTATGCTCCAACCCCAATTAAACACACCTGAACCAAGGTAATCAAGGTTTACTAGAAATGTCCTGGCAGGTATGTTGAGAAAAGTTGTAGCTCAACTCTGCAGGCCCTCCAGGACCAGGATTGGACACCCCTGGCCAAGAGAAGCAAAAGAATAACTGCAAGGTGCACTGCTTGTGTCAAGTCTTTGTAAATATTGGCAGGTACCTTCTGTCACTTAGTTAGGGTCCTTCAACACTACAGGAATATTGGCAGTACAGTGCCTTTCCTTTCAGTATGCATGGGGTAGCGTCCTTGTCCCATATGATGTAACTCAGTCTACCTGTATGAATTTATTATCCACTTTGTGTACTGGAAGGGACACCTACTTCATCTCCTGGACAGTGAAATGGACCATAGAGGAAGAGAGAGCATTCACTCCATTTACACCAGAGCCTGTCCTGCTCACACGGGACATTAAATTGCCACTTATTCTCCAGATGGACAAGTTAGAAGGAGAACTGCAATGGTGAGTCATCTGTGCACCTGTCAGTTCTCCCTGGGAAATGGTGATCATATGGTCATGAGGGTAAGCTGGGTGGAATAATCAAAGGCACCTGTCCATTGTCATAAGAGAAGAGGACAAAAGGAGCGTTGGCATCTCTGCAAGCCATGGTTTAACTCCCACAGGACATTTATTTCTAACCCTGTCTCTGCGAATACAGTCTTGCATTCTGAAACTTATGACCCAACCCAATTTGTAAGACCCCACTCATAGGAATTTGTATGATTTTTACTAAATCGTATGTATTTTACGAGTTCCTCAATTCGTATCAATTTGTGCGAATGACCTACCCCTAACCCCGGCCCTAAACCTATCCGTCACTGGGGTCTAGACAAATCGTACAAATTCGTAAGAGTGAGGTCATATGTACAAATTGGTCGTAAGATAGCGTTGTATAAGCACTGAAACATTCAGCAGCAACCACCTAAAACAGCTTAAGTCGACTTTTATCCCAACTCTTCACAGGACCATGGGTTATGAAGCCCTGTCCCAGAGTAGTAAAAGCAGTAACATCAAATTGTGATTGTAGCAAAGTTCGTAGATATGGGAAGAAGGAGGCAGGAACCGGCGAACATTAAAACCATTTAATAATAAAATAAACAAACACCGCATAAAACATAAATGAAAACACAAAATAAATCCCAGGCCTGGTCCTCTCTCGTCTTCCACTGTCTTCACTCCTCCTTTTATCCTTGCGGAGCTCCTCCTTGGTACTGGAGAACGGTGAGTGGCACAGGTGTCGCTCATTATCATTAAACTCCA